GGGGGGGGGAAGAGCACTAGTATTTTTATAACTTATTTCTGGACATGGCCTTGATTGCCATCGGATCTAGGCTACCAGAGTGGCCCGGGACCACTTGCCCGGCCGGGCCAAAAAAAACTTAAAAACTTCAAAAATAAAAAATATTGAATATTTTTTTTTCTTTTACATTTGACAAAGAATTTCGATGTGACCCTCAGGCAAAAGTTGTTCACTTTATTTTCCTGCATAACATAGTTTTTTTTTTTGTTTTTTTTTTTTTTTTTTTTTGCTGGGATCTTCCCTGGTATTTGCACGGCTGTGCCACCCGGGAAAAAAGGTCAACCCGTGCGGCCCGGCTGGTAGCCTAGTAGCATCGGATACATTTATGTAAGATAATTGCTAGGTTTAGAACGCACTCAGCCAGATAATCCACACAGAAAAAAATGAATAAAAATCCAGACATTCAGCCCACTACACTGCAGTTCTTTTGGACATTTATTTTCCAAAAAAAAAAAAAGATAATTGCTAGTTTTAGAACACAATCAGCCATATAATGCAAACAGGAAAAAATAAATAAAAATCCACACATTCAGCCCACTGCAGTTCTTTTTTACATTTATTTTTCAGAAAGAAAAAAAGATAATTGCTAGGTTTAGAACGCACTCAGCCAGATAATCCACACAGAAAAGGGGAAAAAAAATCCAGACATTCAGCCCGCTGCAGTTCTTTTGGACATTCATTTTCCAAAAAAAAAAGATAATTCCTAGTTTTAGAATGCACTCGGCCAGATAATCCACACAGAAAATAATAAATTCAAAATGTCAATAAAAATCCACACATTCAGCCCACTGCAGTTCTTTTCGGCATTAAAAGAAAAACAAAACAAGTTTCCCTTTTGAAAGCTCCCTTCTTAAACCACCAGTACTTTTCTGAGCCTCTTCTCGTTTTCTTTCTTTTTTTTTCTTTCTTCTCGCAGCCTATTCTTTTTTTTTTTTTTCTTTTGTTCCGTTTCTCGCATTCCTGTCACGTGCTGATGTTTGCTGAACGCATGCGTGGGCCAATTGGCATGCCAGCCTTTTCATTTCGACCCGCCGATCTCCAAAGATACAGCGCATTTTCAATCAGCTGCATTCTCGAGTTTTTGCAAAATAGCTGGGAAATTTACTGCCGGTTTAAACGACCAGTGCACCTGGTGCCTGGAGACGCTGCACTGCGCGCCAAGCTTTGCTAAGCCGCCAGCGGCACATTCTTTTCCATCTTTAGCTCATGCAGGCAGGCGCTGTAGTCCAGTAGGGCCGAGATGTGAAATTTACGGAGTAAGGGACAAGCAAACCTCCACAAGGCTAGGGTCGTGTACAAGCAGCTTACCATAAAAACTAGCTTTTTTTTTTTTTTTTTTTTTTTTTTTTTTTTTTTTTTTTTTTTTTTTTTTTTTTTTTTTTTTTTTTTTTTTTTTTTTTTT